GAAGCAGGAAGCTGTGCTCTAGCTGCAGCAGTGAGATGAAAGAGGGGGATTGGAGCTTAATGAAATCTCCAGGTCTTTCAGCACCCTTATTCAAACCTCTGTAGGATGCCCCCCACTGAATGTTTATTTTGTAGGTGAGTGCATAAAAATAACGTCCATCCACAAATTCACAATTTTAGGTTTACTTTGCAGTACATGGAGAGCTGAATGTTATCCCTTATTTTACATATCAGAACTACAAAATATAATTTAATAATACAATTGTATTCCATCCATTCTCTAACTTACTGATCCAATTCAGGGTCATCACAGCCTATCCAGGCAAACAACAGGCACAAGGCAGGGTACACCCTGGACAGGACACCAGTTCATCACAGGGCACACAGACACACTCAGACCAGGGCCAATTTTCCCAGAAGCCAGTTAAACTCCCAGTACAGTATGTCTATGGACTGTGGGAAGAAACCTAAATGAACACAGGGAGAACATACAAACGTCACACAGACAGCTCCCCATATCTGGAATTGAACCCAGGGTCTCAGCACTGCTAACCACCTTATATGCATCGAGTTTAATGCAATGGCCCAGCGTATGGTTTCTTCAACGAACACCTGTGTATTTATACCAACACTTTTTGCCGACACAGTCCGCTAACTCCCTCCTTCTGTGCTGCAGTAACAGTTTAAGGGACCACAAGACGGAGCTGTGCCTCCCTTGCAAGAGAAGTGAGAGTTCTTGTCCGGGTGCCGATCCCTGTGACTGCCAGGCCCAATACCCTCCGCCCACCTCCTCCCCAGAATCCTTTGGGACTCAGCGGCTCACATGTCCCATCAGCCCTTCTGGGGGGCGTTCTCTCAAGTAGTGTACAGAGGAGAAAGACAGCCCTGTCAGTTTTTAATCTTGTCTCTCTAAAACAAACACGGAACACCCAGGGGAATAGGGCACAGAGAGGCTGAATAAAGAACGCAAGCACAGCTTCTGTTTCCTTTTCCTAAGAGACCAATCCTTGTTCTAAGGAACTAGCATCTTAAATTGGATCATCTCTATTTACAAACTATTATTTTTTGCAGAGCACAAATCATGCTATCGGCTACATTCATAATCAGCTCCATGCAATGCCTTAAATTGTTAGTTTTTGCCAAGATTTGGGTTAATTTGTTTGTTTTGACTCAGAGAAGAGAGTTCTGGTTTTGAAAGCGGTTCAATACAATAGCCTTGGTAAAGCATTCTAATTTGTGATGCGTAAAAAAAAAACAGCAGAATTAAATTCATCCAAATAGATCCCAGATCTGTTTCTGTAGCCTGTTATGCAGTGGTCTGCAAAACCCGAATCCGTGAATGTGTTTACTTTCACGCTGTGCCTAGCACTGCATATTTCTGCTTGGAGGTGAAAATTGTGAATTTGCACACACCTGAGCTGAAAGGTTGTTGACGAGAATATTTTATTAAGGCCTTCATGCCGATTCCTTGTTTTCATCAGAGTTTACAGTAAAAGTGGGCTACTTCACAGTTAAACTATTCCAGTCACATTTGTTTTGGCAAACAGTGTCATCAGAGCAAATTACGTCCCACTTTTACACTCCTCTTGAAGTCAACAAGGCGTGCAAAAAGACTTGCGCAGAGTCTTAGGCAACTTTCTAGCACCATTTTTGCAAACTGTGAAAATGTGTCTCCGCTGCAAAGTCTTGTGTTAGCACTTCAATTATAAAAATCTGTAATTAGCAGCAGCTGCAGTGTACTTGTGTACCGCGGACTTGCAAAACAACAGAAAACAGATTGTTGCAAAGGAACGTAATGATCTGAAGTTATCCGAATTAATGCACGTTTTGACTTGAGCTGCCGTTTGCGTAGGTGAAGTACCTGATACTGACAGTGCTGAACAGCAGCTGCTCTTTAAACATAAATGGAGCTGCGCTAGATCACAGCAAAAGTACAGTTCTTTGATCCCTGAAGCAATCGGATCGATGTGATTACACAATGCATGGCACGCTGTTGATGTTGTGCAGTTGGAGTTAGTTGCAGTTGCGCTGGTGGTACTATCTGGCAGGTAAACAGCCAAATCCAGCAGGAATAGATCTCTAGTTGGCGGAGTCACTGCTCAGCCTGACACCCTTGGCACAGGTTGAAACCGGGTAGTTTTGGGGATCCCACAGCCCCGTTTCAACCCCAGAAGGAGAACTGCATCAGGTGCATTTGGCACCCCGCAGCAGACAGAATCTACGGGCATGCAGTTAAAGTGAAGTCATGGAGCCAATGTGAGATAATGGCGTAAAGCAAATCAGTCTTATAATCCTTAATCTTCTGATGTCTCCATAAATGACTAACAGCATGCCATTGATCTTTGTAAAAGATTGTCTTCTGTTGTAACTCTTGCAAACTTCGACATATTTATTAATTTAACATCCCATTATTTTTGTGCACTTTACCATTCTAAGGATCCACTTTCTATTCATCATAAGCTAGGTCTTGATATTTTTATGCCCATGTCTTGCACCTTGTTGGCTGTGTCCTGCCCAGAGGCTATAGATGTGAATTAGCTTTCAAGCTAAAGAGCCATGCGCTGTCCCTGCTCAATAAAATAAAAAGAGAAATTGCGGTTACAAGCATTAATGTAATGCATAGATATGTGCGTGTAAAGAGAACAGCTTGAACTAAATAAACATTGCGTGGATCCTAACAGGGTCACCTTCATGTAAGGTTGTGAAAGCCCCCTTTTCCCAGCAGAAGTAAGAGCTCTGGATCGTTCTGGGCAGGGAAACTGAGGGTGTCCCAGGTATGCCATTCCACCCATCCAGCTCGTTTGTTCTTTTCTGGCTAATTCATCCAAGGATCTCATCCAGTCCTTTCTCAAAGGAAACAGTTTTAACTTAAACCATTTATCCATCCGTCCACTTTCTAACCGCATCGTCCAATTCAGGGTCACAGAGGTCTCAGTCTATCCCGGCAAGCAACAGGCGCAAGGCAGGGTACACCCCGGACAGGACACCAGTCCATCACAGGACACGCAGACACCAACACACACTCACACCAGGGCCAGCTCTCCCAGGAGCCAATTAACCTACCAGCCCGTCTTTGGACTGTGGGGGGAAATTAGAGCAACATATAAACTCCACACAGACAGCACTCCAGATCCAGAAATGAACCCAGGGTCCCAGTGCTACGGGGCACTGATGCTAACCCCTGTGCCAACATGCCACCTGCAATGAGTCAAGTGTTTTAAATCTTTCTCAGAAACCTTCTTGGCAGCTCCGGGACTTTAGAAGAAGATGCGAAGCCACCGTGATGACAAGCCGAAGTGTGTTTCGGCTGGAGGACAACCTGTCCTGACGCATAAGACCAGCTTCTCCAATTATCTTAAAACGACTGACCTCATCTGTCATCAACGCCCCCGCCCAGCTCGCCCCTGGCCCCGCCCCCCCGGCCCCGCCCCCAGCCGCTCGCAGTGCGCAGGCTCCTGGGGGACCCCCGCTTGTTTACTTTGGCTCGCTCCAGCTCGGAGCCCCCGGGTGAAGAAGTTATGGGAACTGCTCAGGCGCTGTAAGGGCCGGGGAAAAGAAAACGTCAGTCGCCGGTTTTTTTTTTATAGATGAAGATGGAATTTCATGAACTGCTCTGGCCTGTGCTGTAAACTTTGTCTTATCCATCTTTTCCCATAACAAAGGCTTAATATTCCGCATGACGACAGTGTATTATAATATTTAACCACAGACACATACCACGGAGTTGTACCGAATAAATAGGCAGAGTAATAAAATTGTTTAATAGTAATACAAATTCACACTATTGTAGCAGGAAGGCACCCAAACATTTCAGGACCCATGACCTACTTTTTGTGAAAGGGGTGAGCTGTAATTGAAGAAATGCAAAAAAAAAAAACAACAAGGGATTTCAAGGACGCTGGCTAATTGGGCATAATTGCCGCACGCGGGCTTGAATTTCAGGAGCCGCTTTTATTTTCGTTCGCATGGAGTGGTCTAGCATTCTTCAGAGAAGGCAGAGCTTTGTGACAACTGTTTACCCCCATTGTGTGGAACACAGAGGGCTTCTGTTGCAGAAGAGGCCGAGACGGGAGTTTGCGTTTCTAGGTCTAGAAAACATGAGAATCACTAGGTACGGGTATAGCCTTTATATGATCTATAGGTGCACATACTGTAGAAAAGACCCACTCAGCTGAAGGAAACTATTTCTATAGAAGCCTTGAGATTAATGTTCTCAAGGCGATTCCATATTATACTGTAGAAGAGCACATTCAGCAATAGACTGATTCATCCACGGTGCGACAGGGAGCGCTACAGGAGGTCATTCTTGCCTTCTGCCATAAGACTGTACAACGCATCCACCTTGCATCTGAGCAGAGGCACCATTGACAGTGACCTGTTTCTGGACTGAACACATCTACACATCTACTGCTACATCTGTTCTCTTTCTTTTTCTTTTCCCGTCTACAACCGTTTTTTTGTGCAATATATGCCAGGGACCTGTGCAATACATATATATATCTATATTTACATATATATTTATATTCATATGTGTGATACGATTTTTCTGCGTACTGTTCTGTTCTAGTTTGTTCTTTGTATGTCCGGACTGTGCGTAACTCTTTTAGTGCACCCCTCACTGTACTGATTGTATTGTATGTATTGTACTATTATAATTATTGTATCATTCGTTACACTGTGACTGTGATGTCTGTGTTAAGCTGCTGTTGCACTGCAATCTCCCTCACGGGATCAATAAAGTATCTATCTAGAAAACACGCTTATTCGAACTCCCCGTCTCGAACACACTTGGCATACATGTGTTCCAAAGGAGCTGCTGTTGGACGGTAGATGTACCACCGCAGACTGTTTCCTTTCTAAAATCTTCAGTTCTGCTCAATCCGCCTCTTTTCCATGCAGTACGTGCGGAGCTCCAGCCACCGGAGGAAACCCAGATGTTGATCGGAGGCGGTAGAAGATAACAGCGCCCCCTCCGGCTACTTATGCGGCTTTTCGCGCAACAGGTTTCAGATCAAATAAAGATTCTCCTCACGTCGAACCTGCTCCGAGAAGTTCCCCTTTTACCATAGGATCGTGTCTTACATTTTAGCCTCACTCTCGAAAAACATCAAACAAAACAGAAACCCGAGTCTGAAATACCGGACAAAATACTGGATTGAACAAGACAGGATTAAAAAAAGTAAAATAAAACTATGATTCGTTTATTAGTTCGACAAGCCAAGAAGAATCCCGGTGTAAGTGTAATATTATTATTATTATTGTTGTTTGTTGTTGTCGTTGTTGTTCAGTATTCGAATTCCAGGCTTTAGGATCAGAAAAACTTTTACAATTTATGTTTAATTACATTTTGAGTCATTTGGTGGCGTTTTCTACTTGAGACTTCAGCATATTTTTCGTGTAGTCTGGATTTAGATTCAGATACAAATATTTTGTTCATAATTTGGAGAAATTGCTATTAATGGGAAGAGTACAAACTGCATCCAAAATATTGATCTGTCATAGAAGTGAACAAATGACAAGTTACTATTAAAATCCTTTTGGAGGTTTTGTGAATAATGTGGAAAAACCTCGTCAGAGTTGTCATGTACTGTAATTGGAAAGCTGACCTTAACTCCAAACCAAACCTTATTAAGAAACAAATCTTACAGAAATGTCCAATGTCTGCAATTTTCCATCTGCAAAACAAGTGTGATGATATAGCTACGTTACCATTAAATTCCTTCTTAAGGAATTGTGGATAATGTCAAATGAATGATATTGAAGATATAGTTTAAGCAGAAAGCTAACCTTGATCCTAAACTGGAGTTTATTAAGACAGGATTCTTTCCTGTTTAGGGAGTCCTCTGGGAACAGGGTACTTTGCTTTCCTGTGGAGCAATAGTTTATGTTTTCCATATTAATCAAAATAATTTACGTGCAGTGTGTGTTTCAATTCGTCTTGAAATCTTTGCCATTATTTAGAGTGATTGTTATTGATGAGTACAGTACAAAATATCTGCACATTTTCATCTGCAAAAACACGCAAGTATACAACAAACTAAAACTAAAAAAAACTACCATTGAAACCTCACTTAAGGCATTGTGGATAAAGTGAAATAAATGTGAATAAAATGGAGGTTTAATTTAATTTAACGGAGGTTTAATTTAGAAAGCTAGCCCTAAAGAAATGATGGCACTAAGAAATGATTTTTTCTAGGTCCAGAGTAACAATTTCTCAGAGTAACAATACACCTCTCTGTTCATTTATGTGTTGTCAGTTAAGCTGGGGAAACAGTAGCCAATGCTGGTGCTCAGATAAGTGTTTTTCTTTCTGGTACTGTATGTCCATCTGTGTAAATTAAAAAACAAAATGCTGCACATCCCAATTTATTATAGTAGGCACGATATGCATTAGCAGTCTGATTCAATGAACAAGAAGTGCTCACATAACAGAGTCATTGAATGCATGTGAATTCCCCATAAATATTTCACTACAATCCACTGAAAACAGCAATGAGTGTCAGTTACAATGAGTGATGTCAAAAATGGGTTTTCTTAAACCTTTCAGTGAAACAATACACATCATCGTTAGTTTGTTAACTAAGATGCAAAATTGTTGTGACTTTTTACAGACTAACGTTTTGGTGTTTTTATGACTATTCAAGTAGTTAATCCAGAGTCAAGCAACAGACTGCTCTTTATTGGCTTCTAGTGATTGGGTGCTGTTTGTACAACTAGCACACGACATTAGATTTGTATAGTGTTTCTCATCCCAATGTACTTAACATATGGGAAAGGACCTACTTCAAACTCCACTGAAGTAGAGCACCCAAAAGGGGGGGACACACAGCACCCCCACTGCACTGCAGATCAGAGAAGACTGAGAAATTGCTGCACCGGTAGAATTAAGGGGGAACTTCAGGGCAGTCAGATTGTACGAGTCCGCTGACTTTAATCCGCCTACACCTGCACACAGTGCCATGGGATCTTTAATGACCAAGTGCCCAGAACCTCAATTCAATATGTAATTTGAAGGATGGCGTCCCCTACAGCACAGTTTGAGTGGTCACCATATTGGGACCAGAATTTCCAGTGCCTCAAGGGAATGCCTCTCATGCCAAGACATCCAGAATATCGACTGCCAATGAAAGAGGACGTTTGATGTCTTCCTCCCAGTCAATGTTATGATTTCTATCTGTTGTACTGTACATGCAAAACGTGCTGATGAGTTATCTAGTATCTGGATGGGATTTTAAATCCTAGTAGTTTCAGCGATACAAGTTACATTTAGTGCAAGACGTCTCAAGCTTTTGGACAATTAAAACTGGCATCAGAAACCTTTTACCCAGAAATGTGGCAACTTTGCTATTGAAGAGTACAGAAATAAACATGGTTCACTTAATGTTCAAACTCTTACCTTAGCAGGCTCATTCAAAAGAGGCCAAGGTAAAGGTAATCCTGCATGCTTCAGCCGCTCTCCGGGAAGGGTTTGTCAAGACAAAAACCTAGAGAGAGATACTGAATCTTTCTGAAGGGACTCTTTTCCCAGAATCACAGTATGGTTTTTTTAAATGTGGGCAACTTTCCTTCAGTTGTGACCCAGTTCCCTGTTCTGTGCTCACAGCCAGTGAAAGGATGCCGCACTGCTTTCTGGGATATTTTGGCCCCAGTAATGTCAATGAAGCATTTATTAAACAGTGTAGAGCCGGCATCACAGTGCTGTGCCACAGGAATGCATGATGCACAGGCTGGCTGTGGGTTAGGAACCACCACTGGCAGGCAGCCCCGGCATCACCGACAGCCAGCCAGAGCCGCCAGAGACATCAGCTGATAGACGAGGAAGCGCCCTCGGAGCCGAAAACAAGACACGGTCGCATCCGGATTCGTATCAACCAAACAGGCGGGGGAGCCGAACCGAAAGCACGAGCGTGAGGCCGGCGCTGTTCCGTCGCGGCCCGATCCATTTCGCCTGATTTCGTGTCACCTTACATGAAGGGCAGGTTATGATGCCAGCTAGTCCTTTTAAAATACGTAATAGGAAAAACTCGCACAGCTTGGTAATGAAATGAAGAGCGCATGCTAATAGGGTCATGAGGGACTCGCCGCTGGTGTGCGATGGGGACAGCTGGCTCCTGGTCTTTGCCAGGATGACATCCCGGTTTCTCCCGGGTCGGGAACACGCCCTACGCCACTCCCTCGACAGGGGCTCTCTCAGCCACACCGGGAGACCCGTGCCTGTGCCGTGGCGCAGACTCGCTACACAGCACACAGTCTGACGCGACTTCTCCAACTTGCTCGGTAATGTCCGCATTTCATCGCTCCACAGTGCACAGCTTCTACGTTACACGCTCACGTACTATCAACAATATACAGTACCAGACACACCACCACCCCTGCCGCTTCTTTATTAAAGCCACGCCAGTTCACGGTGGTGGTCACAGTCTGGCGAGCGCAGCGCCTCCTCGCAGATACCTACAGGGCGTTTATTTCTCGCTTTCCAACCGGAGGTGTAAATTGCCAAACCGCCGGTAACACTTGTTTCCCGCTCGCCTGCGAATCCCTTTCCCTCAGCGTTAGGTAAACAAAATTCTTCCCCGGCAAGTGACAGTTTTCAGCACAACTGGGTAAGCAGCTGGTGGGGACTCTTTGTCAGATCATCGCGGAAGAGAGGACGTCACGGGGAACAGAGAAAGAAAAGCTTAACGAGAAGATAACTGCAGCTCCACAAAAAAGGCTCATAAACTGTCACTGGTGCCCAGGTGCCAAGCGGTGTTCAGTACTCAGACTGGAGAAGAAACGGAACGGGAAAAGCAGCAACACTCGCAGCCTTTCTCTGTAATCCCAGCTGTTCCCCGAGATAACACTGGCCTAATACAGAAAGAAAAACAGCCTGGTAATAAATGTTTCAGTGTTCTTGTAACATCGAAAACTGTATTGCATCCAGCCGGCTGTTTTCTAACCACTTAATCCAGAAGAGGTTTGATAGGGAGCCGGAGCCTATCCCAGCAAGCAACAGGCACAAGGCAGGGTACACCCTGGACGGGACACCAGTCCATCACAGGGCACACAGACACAGGCACTCACACCAGAGCCAATTGCTCCAGAAGCCAATTAACCTACTGTACCAGTATGTCTTTGGACTGTGGGAGGAAACTGGAGTACCTGGGGAAAACCCACACAAATGCAGAGAAAACATGCAAACTCCACACAGATAGTACTCTGGTATTGGACCCGGGGCCCAGGCACTGTGCATCGGCAATGCTAACCACTGTGCCAACATGCCCGCCTATACTGAAGTTTTGAAACCAAACCCCTTTTGGTAAATGGGTTCCTAAAAGGTAAAGTTGCCTTGGCAAAATCCGGAACCCCCAAGGCCTGCCGGTTCAACCAAAAAAAAATCCTAAACCGGTAAAACCAAAATTTCCCCCACGAATCTCTCTCTAATTACACTCCATTCCCTCTCATTAGGTACTGTAGTCCCCAACGCTGGCCATGTGCCCGGTCTTAAGGTCGTCAGTGGTTATTAGAAATAACAACAGGAAGTTAGTTCCCTTCTAATATCCTTCTAACATCCTCAGGAATATCCTAAAGTGTGCATTCATCACATTATACTGAGCTCTATATCTGGTTTACAGTGTGAAGCCTGACTTTTCTTCTCAGTGAAAGAATGCAGTGGGCTGTAACATGAGAAAGAATTGGATCTACAGCATATAACACCAATTTCCTTCCCCCGTGCCCTTCCTGGATGTGAGCTTTGAGTACAGAATTTTTACTGGAGTGCTTAGGTGCAAATAGCAATCAATCAAACGAGCAGCAGGAATAATGATAACGAACAGTGCAGAACATGTTATAATGAACAGCAGTTGTCTCAGGCCAAAGCCAGTCGGTGGTTTCCGGAGAAATTGACCGGGTGAGCACATGTATAGAATTACCAATTGGCACCATGATTGAGGGAAGTTTTGACACGGGTAGATCTAACACAGCTCTGACCCACATCTGCAACGTGAGTCTTAACTCACAGCCAAGTTGGTTTATATGTTGTACACATACCAGGAATGCAGCACGCATGAGAATAGCATTCTCCCCCCAACAAGAGATCTGTGCAAGAAAAAGACAGATGAACCTGATGATACCCTCTTAAATAAACAGCGATGTGATGACCGAACGCTACAAGTCCTTCATAACCGGCAGCCCAGCTGTAATTTCACTATGTGACTGAAGACATTTTACCCAGACTCTGTCGAAACATTCAGAACGCCAACATACAACTATAATATAAGGATCTCAGCCTCTTTCAGTGTAAACTGATGGGATATTTTTTGTTGCGTACCCATATTTTTTTGGTTCGTCTCTTGACCTTTTGTCACCATTTCCTCAGCTGGGGCCTTGCAAAAAAACACATTTTTCTCCTTGCCAAAACTGGAGACTAGATGGTGGTCTTTGCGCAGGAAAACCTGCAGGATACCAGCTTTCGGGGAGCCGGACTGGGGATCCCTGAATCTGGGGGGCAGCACTGACACGGAGAGCCTGCTGGGAGCACAAACCAGGAGACGGAGGCTGCTCCTGAGGACTGGGATTAGGGGAGCCGGTGCCACGGACACAAGCGCCCCTTGGTACCAGACAAATCCGCACTCCCTTGATCGGACCAGATCCTAGCTCCGGATTGTTACAGGTTGTGTGAGGCCCAGAGAAGAAAGAAAAAAGGATCGCTGCCTGACGTCTCACTGGATTAAAATTCCTGGGCTCATCCTTAATATGCATTTCTATTGTAATGCCCCCCCTCCTCCCCCTTCCGCTCCCTGAACGACTCCGGATCTCTCCTGCTCTCGCTTTGATCCTGTCACTCCGGCTGACGGGCAGCGCGCACGCAGGAGCCGGCTGGCGCAGAATGCCAAAGAGCTGCCCCCCCCATCCCACAACCCCCCCTCCACCACCTCCCAAAAACGGTCCACGTCCTCTCCACCAGCCTGCCTGGACTGCCGCGTTCAAGAACAACAACCCCGACACGCAGACAGGACAGGAGGAAAGCTGTGAGCACAGGAAGAAACCTCCCACCTGGGGCAAACAGAGTCCCGGAAACGCTAACAGTTCCTGAAAAATTCACTCTGTGGGACACACGGCTGGGCTAAGACTTTCAAAGCAGTTTTTCCAGTTGTAGGCAGGCAGGTGCGCTTCACAGTGAGAGCAATGTGCTTGCGTTCAGTAGTGAAGGGCAACACCACTCTCTGTGATGAAGCTTGTTGGATGGTAAAGGGTTAAAAGAAAGGACAATAAACCTGTTGATTTTGAAAACTGGACTTCAGGAATTGTCTTCCTAGACACCCCTACAGAGTAGCCTTTAGACTTTGTTTTCCTTAAGTAGTTTTACACAGGTAGAAAGAAAGATCTCGTTGGTTGTACTACATACAGTATGTACTACCTGTTGTATTGGTATTGTTCCGTCTGATGTCTCACTCCCACCCTCTTCTCTCTTTCCTCTAGCTCATCCCTCTGTTCTTCTTCATTGGCCTAGGGATGGGTGGGGCCTCCCTCTACCTGCTCCGCCTTGCCATCTTCCACCCCCACGTCAGGTGAGAGTTCCCAACTCCTCTCAGCCAATCACATTCTGGGTGAGAAATGTGGGCGTGTCCTGACAACTGCTACAGGGTCTTTTGGTGGTTCTAGTTACAAAACACTGAATCTCCAATTTTGTTTTCCTATGATTAACTATGGCAAATATTCTTCCGGTGAGGATTTTGACCAAAGGGGATGGAACTGTGGGGTCTTTATCCTATGCAGGAAAGGTAAACTGTTCTCTAAGAGGTGTGCTAGCATGGCTCAGACAGAGATGTCCAGATAAAATGTCAAGAAACATCCATCCACCCTCTAAGCACTTTTTCCAAGCACTTTATCCATTTCAGGTTTGGAAGGCAGCAGGTGCGTATTATGGCAAGCAACATTGTTCAGTAATCTATCATTTTAAAAGATTTTCTTATCGTTAAATTAATTTATTGTTATATGACATTTTCTGCCATAGCACCAGAAACCCAGGACACCCTAAAGAAACTGCACACTAAGTATATTGGAAAAAAAACAATTAACAGTGGAGCAAATTTTTTTCCTCACCATTGCAGCCACTTTAGCAGTCTGCTCGCATTGCTATGGTCAAATAAGTGGTCTGATTTAATAGAGTCCACAGTGAGCGATGCCTGTCTTGCCAAGTTCAATAGACTTTGGCAGCTGGGGCCAAATCGATCAGCCGATGTTAAACAACGGCACAGTAATAAATTCGTTTAGTCAGTCTCCTTTTGAAAGTCAAGTCATTTCCTCTTCTTATTTGGGCCGTTATGCAGCTCTTTCTGGAAGGAGCTGGACTTGGGACGGAGCTTTTGTCTAGTATTATCTCATTTATCAAACGCCCTCTGCTATCACAACAGAATCTTGTTACACTGAAGTCAGTAGCACAGTACCTGACGTCTTCACTGAGTCAGTTCTCTCCTGGAAAAGGCAGTGCTGTTCAAATACCATATCATTGGGGTTTTCTTTCTTTTACGTTGCATGTTTGAAAACCTGAAATTGAAATTGAAAAAGGCCCAGTTTTACACTCCTGGGCAGGCAGTGGGGAGGTAGCCCATCCTAATTTGTTCATTATGGATTGGGGCAAAGTGCTGGAAGCGTCATCGCACATTGGACAGCCAGGAAGTGAACCTGTAGGGGTTTATATTTGCTCTGTGCCCTGCTATGGGCGAGGCTGTATCAAAGACGCATTCAATTAAAACCTTTTTTGTTCCTCTGGGGGAAATCTGCCTTATGGTCCAGTCCAATGCAACAACACAACAGCCATGACCAACAGTGAAGACTGTACACTGTAACGAACAGTTCTTTCCGGACCCTATGCGGACGACACAATCCGACGAAGTGGGGAAACACTGGGGAAACGTCATGCAGGAATACGGGGCAGAAGACAGGGGGCGTGTCCAAGGTGCGCTGGTGCACGGGGGAGGTGTAGCCGAGGCGAACAATCCGAGAGTAATCCTTAGGGAAAATCCAAAACGCAAGGGTAAGTCCAAAACCAGGAGATCCATCAGAGGAAGGAATTAAAAACCACGAAGGCCGGGTCAGAACCGGCGGACGGGGAACAGGAACGGGAACCGAGGTTAAAACCTTAACGGGACCAGGCGCTTCCTGGTCCCGGACTCGCACAATATGGAAATCAGAGCAGAGCCCGGAAGAGCGTCAGCGCCTGGCTTTTAAGGTGGGCAAGGAATGGGAAACAGGTGCAGAGAATGAAGTCTTTAGTGAAAGGGCTTGGAGCACCCTTAAGGAGGGGGGACTATAGTCGTGACATACACGAGATAAGAGAGTTACTTTGCATTGCTTGAGCGAGACACTGCAGTAGAGATGAAAGATTTCTGGCGTCTCCCAGATGGGTGTAGTGTGAATTCACAATGGAGGGGGTGAGGCACACATTCCATCATGCTCCTTGCCTTCTTTACAACCCTAGAGGATATTCAAGTTGATTTTGATTTGCCCCAATTATTTTGCTATTTATTTTTACTACTTATTGTGACTAATTTTCCCACCCTATTGCAATTAACAGTAGTTGGCGTACAAGTACAAGTGCGACAGTACTGGCGCCTGACTTCTGCCGGGCTCCGTGTTGTTTAAGAGTGTGTGAGCTGCTGCCACACACAGCTGGCGATCTCCTCTCAGGTCACGCAGTGCTTTCCCTTTGTCAACCACAAGCTTTCTCTTTTTTTGATGTGATTTTTACCTGGGCCGGCCTCACGACGGCAGCTGGAACAGGAAGAACAACCCAGAGCCCTGGAACAAGCTCAGCCCTTCCTACCAGTACAAGGTAAAGTCATTTCAGCCCCTCCTCTCTCCCTCTGTGCTTCTCTGTTGCTCTATGAGCGGCTCTGGGGCCGCCCCCCCTCTCGTTTCCATCGACGCACAAGACGCTGTTCAGAACAGCCCAGCCAGTAGGAGGGGCCTCAGCAATCCGGATCTCCTAGGACAGAAACAAAAAGTTTCACAAGAAGGGACGTGAGAACAGTGACATACAAGAGCACATTCAACCTGCTTGGCAGTTAGTAGCCAATTGAACGGAGGGTCTCACCCACCTGTTTCTTGAAAGAAGCCAGGGTACTGGCGTCGGCAATATGGCAGAGCTACTTGTTCCACACTCCCACCATCCTTTACCTAAAGCCTGTTCTCAGTTTTAAATGCACTTCCAAATAGTCTCCACTTGTCCCCCCTCGTTCACGTCACACTGTTCATTTTGAAGAAGTTTGCCTGGTTGACTTTGCCAAAGCCTTTGAGGATTTCGAATACTTGAGCCGAGTCCCCTTGTAGGGTTGTCTGTTCAACACTATATGAGACTGTATGAGAGGAAGCCATCAGGCCTGTCTTAGCCTTTTGATGTGTAGGCAGCCAACTGAGGCTACACACATCCCAGAATCGCAGCCAGCCACTTCTTGGAAGGATCCTGAAATGTTAGGTTCCATGTCATTGCTGGGCAGTTTCTTCCAAATCCCTCTAATTCCGTGCAAAGAACCGCCAAGCATTTTCCATCATAGACCCATCTCTTCTTAATTTGCACTTGAGGCCCCGTGGTCCTTAATCCACTGTTGAGGGATTTGTAGGGATCATTCAGTCAGCCTTGGACATGGAGAAAAATGATTGTATCAAGACACTAAACTGTAAATTGATGAAGGAGCTTAGAAAGTCACTCAGCTTGTTCAGCCTGTATTAAAAAACTGATACAGGCTTCCCAGTTCATACGAACTCTGCTTGTGCAAAAGGCTGCTTCTCTACAGCCCTTTTTCTCTAAGAGGGCTATTTTCATATTTATACATCATCCAAAAATGATCTTAGAGAATATTAACTTGACCGAGGTTGCCAATACGTTAGTAATGCTGATGAAAGTTTCTTGAAGATGCATCCTTAAGGCATCCAAGGTCCAAGCTGGAATCTGGCTGGTCTGGGAGTCTCCAGGAACAGGGTCAGCCACTCCCAGGAACAGAGAGGAAAAGAGTCGTGCTGTTAATCTGTATTGCAGACACACAGCAGGAGAGGAAGGTGCCTGCGAAGCCGAGCTCATGTTTCTATATGAAGATTGCACCTGACAAAAGGTCGCCACACTGCATGTTTAATTCTCAGGGGTGCTCAAAGGTCGGATATAAAAATTCCAACCCGGTCTGAAATAATAATAACAACAACAGTTGGGAAAGAGAGAAAGGGGAATGACAGCAAGCTTATCAGATGAAAAAAAAATAAAATAAAACTAAATATGGAAGGGGAAAAAAATCACAGCTGAAAGCAAAACTTGTATTCTGTCATGGCTGGGAAGATGTCTAAGCTGAACATGACATATGCAAACTAGATTCCATGAGAGCTCTATGGAATCCTAAAGAAGCTAGGGAGGAGAGGAAAAAAAACTCAAAATAAATTCCTTTCAAGGTCCGACAGCCATTTCCCCTACAGTAATGATAATCTGTCCAAGCACTAAGGAGATTTGGAAGACCAACAGTCTCAAACTCAGTTCCTGGAGACCCGAATGTCTTCAGGCTTTTGTTCCAACCTGAGCTGTTAATTAAACAACTAGCCTAATTATTTTCTAAATGAGACATATTTAGGATTTTTCTTAAGGTCTCTTCCACCTTGATTCCACAATACATTTACTTCATTAAAAGGTGCAGTTAACTCGTAGTGTTCTAGAAGTATTCCAATTATGCAGTTAATTAATTAGACCAGTTATGTAAACTAGACCACGGCTGGGACAAAACCAGAGGACTCGGGAGGAAGTGGGCGCAGTGCCCTGGTGCCCCAGAGTAACCTGCAGTCTGTCTGGGGACGAGCACATTGGTATTCCTGGAACGGTGTCCTCAAACACAAGCCCTCTCACGAACAAGCTGTTGCTCTGTTTGTTTCAGGCGAAACGTAATCACATTCCCCTGCATCATGGCATCCACTCTGAAACGTGTCCAGGGTAGGAACCCTTGCAGGAGGCAGCTAGAAGTGGCAGCCGGCTTGCACAGGCATGTAGCATGGCATTCTGGATGAACTGTGTGCCCAGAGGAGCACTAGTGTCTGCCCCACCATGAAGGAAAAAAACATTCATTTGTGATTCAGTTAATTAAACACATAATCAGCCTTCTGGCCATGCCTAGGGACCTGCATCAGGGCTTCTGCTGAATGGCTTTGAATATGCGTTAATTTAGTGCTTTTGCTTTTTGAGCGAGCAGTGAGTTGGTCTCGAGCAGGGTTAACAGCGCCCCCTTTAGTCCTGCCAGGCAATTGAGAGCATGCTGTGTTATCAGTAGGAAATGCTTCAGTCCTTTGGGTCACAATAAAAACTCACATGCATGTTACCCTCCTCAAACCCATTAAAGCAGTCATTTAAAGGGGTTTTTAAGGAAAACAGTCAAAGCTCTTATGCAGGTAGCTGGTTGAGCTCCAGAGGCCAGACATTGTGAGTTCAAGTCATCACTGACCAACTGCAGCCTGGGTAGCAGCAATTCCAGTGATTTGTCAGGCAGCTGCAGGCTTGCAGTGATGTCAGCGAGAGATGTGCTGCTCCTCCAATCGGTGCACGCTCTCCCAGCAGGCTCAGTGGAGCTTGCAGGGTGTGAAAAGGCGAATGTCTTGGGCTGGTAGGCACATTGGAGGAGTGTCATTCTCTCCCAAGAGGCTGCAACAGTCTCATCCATCACTGATTCCAGATTGTTTGGGTATATATTAAAAAAAAATGCAGGCGCTTTAGTTGATTACAAACTAGTAGATGCAGAATCATCTAATAAGTCGGAACATGTGCAGGCTGAGAAACCTAAAAATAGGATCATATTAGATATGTAGTGAAAGGGGAGAGAGAAATGAAGACCTGTCCATATTCATTCAGCCTCCCTCTGTGATCTTTGGGCCACAGAAGAAAGGAAACCTGGCTTGTCAGCTTCCAACAAGAGGGAGTTTGAGTAAATCAGGAACACAGTGTGACTTAATGTGTATTTCTTGTGAGCACTAGAGAAAAATACTTTGTGTCTGAATACATTAAAGACATTGGGGCTTGCAGTAAAGTATTACCCAGAAGCTAAATTGTGGTACTCTGGATTTTAATCTTTGATCCAGGCCTCTTTCTGTCTATACTTACAAAGTTATTACAAAATGTGTAAGTGGACATCATTCCAGGCAGAAATTGTCTCTGGACGTGTGTGACAGATGGGAGTACTATAAAGTTAAAAAAAATGATCATATACAAACCCCAAAACATCTACTCTGGAAGATGAACCTAGTAGCCAGTGATCAGAGCCTCTGCAGACTAGAGGAAACAAAAGACACAAAATAAAAAGAAAAGTCTTTTTTTTTTCCCAGTTTGATGCCATTTATGGTCGGTAGATTATATTGTATGAACAAGCTATAATTGTATCTAGTTAAAAAAAAGTTAATGACCTGACAAAATAAAGTGATTGAATATTCATGATGCAACCCGTGGCAAAAAGAAAGAAAGGACATTTAGAGATGTAGAAAATTAAGCCAATTAATAGGACTTGATACATATGATTTACAAAGTGCATTTAAAATTACACTGCTAATGATAAAGGCTTTTATCGGTGTGTGATGTGTTGGGCACAGCTAATAAGTTTGCCGGCGTGCTCAGAGCTTTAATTAGAAGGGACAAAGGATTTGATTCCAATGATTCTGCTAATGATACAGCCCCTATTAACGACTGCATTACAAAACGTTGGTGTTGCTTGGAGTCCACAGAGGTAAATCTTGCAGGAACATGCTAGTGGACGCTATTGAAAACCCAGTCTTGTAATATAATGAAGCTCAGCCATATTAAAACGCACACTGGTAGATGTAATATGCAAAAGAGAGAATCATGTTGTTTTGAAAACTGGCAACAATTTTTGGCTTTCCAGCACCTTCCCCTGTACTCATTAGGGAGGGACTGAAGCGTGGTTTTACCCCTTTTGAGAAGCCCACTCACAGAGCCACTCTTCACCTGAGGCGCAGCAAGCTCCATAGGTTGGAGCCCTCCCACTCAGCCACCTGATTGGCTGTGGAGAGGTCAGTGCGGTCATCCATTTTGGATTTGGGCAATGAGGGAAAAGCCTTCAGCTTGGCACGATCCCTCCTGGCCTATGATTGGCCATCAGAATCCCATGGCTTTAAAAAGCCTTAAAAAGGGGTGTGTCCTTCAAGCAGTGAAACGAAAGCATGCAAGTATGCATGGGACACTACCACTCCCAATACGTGGGACAGGGAACTGGTCTATAAGCCCCAGTGGTGCCTGACAGGAGCCCAACTGGAAGAGAAGCACATCTCTCACTACTGTAAAAGTAAGCCTGCTAGTGCTCAGCAAGCAACAGGAGTCATCATTGTGTGAGCCCAGGGTTTCCTGCCCTACTAATTCCAAACCTATCCCGGAGAGTGTAGAATTCACACAATTGAGTGACAGCACACTGGGTGGCATCCTGGTCACAGCTGGCTAGTAACATGACCAGGAATGAACCCCTGGCATCTTAGCCACAGAACTCAACCTGTACTCCAAGAGAGGGCTACAGTTCTGTGCTTAGTCTCTTCGTTCACATCACATGAAGCAGAGTTGTCCTAATGAATTCTCCTGTCTCAGGCAGTCAGGTGTGAATTTCAGCCCTTGATCATTAAGGAACTCAGGAATGGGACAAAGGGATTAAAAGGATGCGTAAACGTGCTGCCGCCCAGTATGCTGTTTTGCCAACAACTCTCCTCTCTTTCCTCTTCTGACCAGTTCATGGCCGTCACCACAGACTACAAAAACCTGAAGAAGGACGGGCCTGAATTCTGAAGGTTTCCACGGCAACTCACGAGGGCCTTCCCGGTCACCATGGCACCTCTGTCACTTAGCCTTCACATGAAGAGAAGCTCCCAGCTTCTCTATGCCTTAATCTAATGCAAAGTGTCCAGCCCCGAGTAGCATAGAGCCCAAATAACATTAACATTGTAGAGTCTAATAATAGTAATACTAATGCCAGCGTGGTCTGAGAAGTCCTGAGCTTCGCACCGAAGGAAGCACCAGTGACTGCTGTAGAATCAGGTGCTCCATGAGTACCCCAGGGTACAATGTTAAACTTGTAAAGCAAAGTGGGTTTATGGGCACATAGCAAATGTTTTCTCCAGTGTCACAAATCCATTGCCTGATTTTTTCATCTGTAATGATTAACTGGCAAAAGACAAAGTATAAACAAAGAAATCAAGGAAAATCAAGGTAGTTTGTTTGGGATTTTGGCTTTCTCTAAAAAGACTCTAAATGGACCATAAGTAGAACCCACAACGGTGCCTTGGGATTTGTTTTTCTAGACCAGGCTCAGAACTTCCCAAACCCTCTTCATAGTATTAAAGAGAGTGTAAATGCTTTAATAAATTTTTTATTTGCAAGATTTCTTCTTGTTGGCCTCCTGTTTTTATACACTTACTTACTGCCTGGTCTGCAAATACAAAGCTAGAATCATCCTCCACCACTGACCTCATTAATTTTGGCCAATGACTGACGTAGCAATCAAAAGGCCAACAGATAATTTAGTGCAGTGTTCAGCCACAGTCCTGGAGGAACACTGCGTCTTGTTTTTTCTCCTACTCTGAATCACAGGCTTTCAGCTCTTAAAATGTCACCCAGAATTTGTAATTATCAAACCAGAACCAATTTCTGAGTTTCAGAGCTGCCCTCATTTAGGTGTGCTGCCTGAAATGCAGAAGGAAAAATGTGAATTGTGGATGTGTCTAAGTGCCACTCCCACTATGGGCATGATGATTCAGTGTCACTACTACTATGCGTGTGTTTGATTCAGTGTCACTCCCATCATGGGTGTGTCTGTTTCAGCATCACTCCCACTATGGGCCTGTCAGACTCAGTGCCACACCCTTAATAGACATGACTGATTCAATGCCACCCCACTGTGGGTGTGTCTGATTCAATGCCACTCCCACTATGGGTGT